AGGCCCTCTAGAACCATTCTCTTCATTAATTAGTTCTTTTGCTTGTTGAACGCACCCACACATGCAAAGAACAGGCAAATGCCTTGTCGATATTACCACGCCCACAATAACTATCGATGAGAGTGTTATATATTACAGTATCGGATAAACTCATACTTTATATTGAATCTATTATCCGTCTTTAATCATCATCGTAGAGAAGAAAAAAGGTTAAATTCTGACGTTATGAATATCATTATTTTGATCCACCATCTCCGCCGTCCCTCTTGTTGTCATACATCTTCCTCCACCACCTAATATCTTCCTCTCCAAAACCCCTATTTTGATCTAATTTGTAGAGCTTTGTTTTATTATACAAAACCAAGTCTTTGTATTTCAAAACAACTACAACCATTCCACCGCTTTCTTGTGATAACTCCATCAGCCCGTCACAAAATTCACGTTCTTCTTTCTGAAAAACCAATTTCTTTTTCTTCTTTTTATTGAGTTTTGTTCATAGGTTTTTCAAACCTTTGAGTAACATAATGTTTTTGGAAAAACAATAATATCTTTTCTTCTTTATTATTATCGTAGATCATACACTTTCGAGAAGACGCATTGTTTTTCAATCGTCTTCCCAAAGACATCATAGACTTTGTACATCTTTTATAGTATACTATTTATGTCATCAGAAAATAATTTTCTAAACACTTTATATTTATGCTATCCTCAAACGTGTCAAAGATGCCTTAATAAACAAAGTTCGAAAAATGGGGGGAAAAGGCAATACATTGCGTTAATGCACTGAAAGAGTAGTGGGTGAGTGTTGATTTTAATTCGATTGTAGGGTCTCCTCTCCCTCAATAGGACAGCTATTTTCATTACTCGTTACTCCTCGCCGCTTTCCTTTTTGTTCATTTTTCTTCCTCTTTGTTTGTCCCCACCATTCTTTGGAAGCTCATTCATGCCGCCTCTCTTCTTCTTCTTCTTCTCTCTCCCATGTCTTCTTCCTTTTGGTCTTTTCATTCCCACGCTTCCCTAGCTTCTTAACAATTGTTGGGTCTTTGTTTTTTCTTCCTTGTTTTGGCAAACCTTATTTTAAGTTAAAAAAAAAAGAAGATTATGAGTGTCGGGGTGTCACTCAAGCACGGTCTCACCATGTTACTCATTGAGCTGTTTATGTTTCTTGCCTGTGGGTGATGTTTTCAACTTGTTTCCTTCTTTGGGGTTGGTTTATTTTAGCATGATCTGTTGGTTTTAAGAATTTTGGTGATTGGGGTCATTGTTTTGCTTTCTATTTTTGAACCTAGAGAAATGGATTCTTCTTGGTAGAAAATATCACTGCAGTTTCTTGTAAAAGAGCTAACTTATGGAGCCTCTCCTTTGTTGCTTAGTTGTTACTTTGATACTCTTTTTGTGTTACAAAGCTTGAATGCTTTGTTGTCTATGTTAAATGTTATTGGGTTTAGGCACTATTAATATGATGAAATGAAAATGTAAAGGAATGGTAATGTGTGGTTGACTAGTACTAAATTGCGGTTGTGGTTGAAGTGTCGGGGCTTCGGCGTGATTTGTTTCTTAAAAATAACTATGTTTGAAAACGGATTTTCAATGAAAAATACATAAAAAAACTAAAATATAAGGTAATTTTAAAATTTTATGGGTGCGACTGTCTCCACCCGCTCCTGGTCAATCCCTGATTCTTATAGTTGTTTACATTTTCTTAAAAAAAAATTATTTAAGCATTGATAATGATTGCTTCTTGAACAAGGGTATAACTGTCTTAGAAAACCATTTGAGGTAATTTAGCAAAACTTGTGCTTAGAAATGTATTGATCTTGATTTTCATATACCTCCTTAGACATTCACAGGGAGGTTGACCATGAAGGTGTTTGAGGTCCCTTGACTAATTTGTAAATGGCTTTTATTGATGCTGGAATGAGTAAAATAGATAGGTGGGAACCGTTATAGCTTGAAATACGATGAACATACATGGGAGGGTCTTATCATTGACGTTGCCATTGCGACCAATACAAAGCAGTAGTTTAAGGTGTAAGCATTAAGCTTTAGACGAGTTACGATAGCAATTCTCAAGTCTTGAATATGTTTTGTTAGATTTCTATCGTTTTTCTTTTCTTTTGTGGTTGGATGTCACAGACGAATATGTACTTATATAGTTATATCATGTGTGGAAAACAGAAAAGTTTACATTTTATTTGTCGGGTTATCTTGCTAAAGGGTATGTATGTTCTTCCTTGCTCTCATTTCAGGCTTCCATGAGTGTTTATCCAGCCCAACAGATCATCTTAAAAGTTATATGTTAACAGAGAGGGGAGCTGATGCTTTTTTACCTGAAATTACTCCGAGTGCATCTCCTCAGCCATTTCTTCCTCTTCTTGCGCCTCCCCATTGACACTCTTCACAAATAGTACTATCCCGAAATTATCAGGTACTTTTTACATAGTCGGGCACATTGGAATCTGAAAACAGTTGGGATTTTAGTGTCGAATTATATTTTGCATTTGGCCTTTTGTAGGACTCTGTATGTTGAATTTCACTGCTGCACAAGATTTGATGACCATGACCTCAATCGATTGTTGGGCTGCATTTGCTCCATTGTTGGCAAATGTAATATGTTGTCCGCAGCTACATGCAACTCTCGTGATACTCGTTGGTCAATTAAGTAAAGAGGCTGGTGTGCTTGCTTTAAACAGGACCCTTGCCAAGCCTTGTCTCTCAGATGTTGAGCAAGTCTTAGAAGGCCAGGGTGCTGGTGAAAATCTCAAGCAGGTTTGCTCAATTCATCCATCAAACCTCACCGAAGCGTCTTGCCCAGTAAAAGATGTTGATGAGTTCGAGAACACTGTAAATTCGTCTGAGCTTCTTGCTTCATGTGAAAAGATTGATCCTGTGAAAGAATGTTGTGACCAAGTTTGTCAAGGTGCCATATCAGATGCTGCAACAAGACTTGCACTGAAAGCTTCTGATCCTTTGAGCATGGATGGGCCCCATGTTTTACCTGAGCACTCAACAAGGGTAAATGATTGTAAAACTGTTGTCCTTCGGTGGCTGGCAAGTAAACTTGACCCTTATCATGCAAAGGAAATTCTTAGAGGACTAACCAATTGCAATGTTAACAAAGGTGAGTTTCGAATTTCCCCTAATTAATATGTTATCTACTTAGATTAGGATTCACCTCTTGCCATCTGATTAATGCATATAAGAAAATCCCTTTGGATATCGAGTGACACAGGAACTTTTCTTACGTCTTTGACCACATATTTCAATTCTTTTCTTATGTTGTTTTCTCCTTCAGTTTGCCCTCTTGTTTTCCCCAATATGAAGCATGTTGTGAACAGCTGTGGAAATGGAATAAGTAACCCAAGAACATGTTGTGATGCCATGGATAGCTATGTCTCTCACTTGCAAAAGCAGACCCTTGTCACCAACTTACAAGCTTTGGATTGTGCTACCTCCTTCGGGTTGAAGCTACAGAAATACAATATCACCAAAAATGTTTATAGCCTATGTCACATAAGCCTCAAGGATTTCTCCCTTCAAGGTTGGTTTTGTATTTTGATGTACCTGGAATGAGCAAAACGAAGTGATATTTATGTCACCAAAAATGTTTATAGCCTATGTCACATAAGCCTCAAGGATTTCTCCCTTCAAGGTTGGTTTTGTATTTTGATGTACCTGGAATGAGCAAAACGAAGTGATATTTATGTCACCAAAAATGTTTATAGCCTATGTCACATAAGCCTCAAGGATTTCTCCCTTCAAGGTTGGTTTTGTATTTTGATGTACCTGGAATGAGCAAAACGAAGTGATATTTATGTGACAATTTTGAACTTGTACTAACACTAGATTCTTTCTTTTTGCGCCATGATCGATTTTGACACCGATTACCAACAACTTGTATGCAACAGTTGGAAATCAGGGTAAGATGCTTACACCCTTCATAATTGGCTGCATAATCTTGCTTTTAGCTACACGGAATTGTTCCTATTTCGTGCACTTTAAAGTTGTCCAACATCTATATCATTTTAATTGTTACTTGTAATTTCTTTAACTTGCTCATATGGCCTGAATTTTCTAACATGTATTTTTTTCCCAACTGATTTTAGTATCTGGATGCCTCCTGCCAAGTTTGCCCTCTGATGCGACATTTGACAAGTTCTCTGGAATCAGTTTCATTTGTGATCTGAATGATAATATTCCAGCTCCATGGCCGAATCCATCGCTTTTTCCAGCTTCATCATGCAATAAAAGTATGTACTCTCAATGGTAGTCCATATTATAAACCGATTTCATATTAACATGACACTTCTTTCCTTCTCTTGTCTTTATTATTTATTTCACCTGGATTTTTGGCATGCAGCTGTAAGAATCCCTGCACTACCTGCAGAAACAAATGCACAAAGTGGTAAGAAATGCACTGATTTACTAAAATAACCGTAATCACTTTGAGACGAGCAGACTCTAATTGTTTAATTGATGTTGAGTCACCGAGTCACATTGGCCGAACATAGGGTTGACAGAATAATCTTTGAATAAAGTTAAAACTCAAACTTATTGAACTTTAATTATGGTCTTTGCCTCTCTCTCGCTCAGCAGCCATTCTCTCTTATGCAGGTCTCTACAATAAATACGTTGCAGTTTATCTTCTCATTGCTTCTTCAATGAACTTAATGATGCTCTTACAGTTCTAGTTTTTCGAGGCCGATTCAATCTTTATCCATAACTGCTTGATATAGCACCAGTCTTCTTTAACCAAGTTTTACAGTGATACGGACACGATCCCTGTTAATGGAAAGTTTAATCAGTGGCGATGCTCAACCAGGTACTGACTCAAGTTCAAGTTCATGTATCTGATCATAGTAATTGACGATTCTTGCATGTTGTCTGTAATAATATTTTGTAAAAAGAAACTTGTATCTATACAAGTAATTGATCATACCATGTAATTTTTTATTGGAGATTTTATGAGAATTTTACTCCATTCCTTGGGAGCTATGGCCTATAGAAATGTTGGTTGGATTGATTCAACAAGCTTTGTTTCAGTCATCTTTGTTGCTTATATCATAAGACATCGGCATGAGGTCGTAGTGTATATAGTTTTACTGCATTTGAGGCATGAGAAGGGATCATGATTTCGACATTTGAGGGTCGCATTCAGACGGCATTTGAGGCAAAGCTACTTCGGTTGTGTCCTTGGACTCTGCTTGAGGTGTTGCAGAGACTTCTAAATGCTGTTGGGCAATGCATTGATGTTTTCACACTCATTTCACATTAAATGTGCAGTGGTGCACTGTCTGCGGTTGTGGAAGTGTGACCCTTTCATTTTCACATCGTTGTTTTCAATAGTACCAAGTGTTAGAAATGCCAACTTTTTATATCCTAAAACTAACATTTGTTGTATCAATAGTTCATAGGCAAAGTTTTGCTTTTCATTTTAGGGTTAATCTCGACTCCGACATTAGATTTAATCGAAGTGTTAGAGATAATACTCATTATTTTCAAGTTGAATGCTGCTGCTGCTGCTGACTACTACGACGGCGGTTGTGCATTGCATTTGCAGCATTCATCTACACCGTGGGAGTCAAATCATCAGCTATCCAAAAACCACCCACAGGAAGTTGACACCGCCTCAATAAATTTACGGAAGAGGGGTGGGAGAAAGGCTAGGAGATGTACTGCCGTAGAATCTTGCACCGGGATTTGCTAATTCACGACCATTGTATCCCACATAAACATATGCGAGAGAAATGAGAATTTATGTACATAAATCTCTAGTTGGTAAAACCATGAAGCACGACATCAATTTATAAAGAGGGTTCAAAAGTGTCGGGTACGAGCTAGATACAATCATGACATCAATTTATCTGATCAACAAGCCGTAAAGTTCCTAAAAGACTCAAACAACTTAACATTATCAGATATTATCCAACATGGCCTGGATTGATCAAGGTCTTCATCTTGCTCAACCCACAGATTCTTTGAGCTTCAACTCATGGATCGGTTCAAGATATAACCGGGAAGAACTCATGTACACTGTGAAAATGATTTATACTAACTATTGCATAATGTACAACGAATCACCTGTGGCCCAACGGATAAGGCGTCTGATTTCTAATCCGATAATTGTGGGGTTCGAGTCCTACAAGGTTTGCTATACTTTTTCTTTATGTTTGAGCTTCTCAATTGGCCCATGCCCATTACACAATCACGCGAACCAAACAAAATCTGGGTAAAAGTAATTAATGAAATCGGTAAAATCTGGGTTTGTTTATTGATTTCATCCTCATCACCCATTTTTTCTCACAGGTAATTCGGAATCTACAAGACAAAGGTACCTTGTCCTTTTTTTTTTTCTTTCCCTTTTCTGTCCTTTTTCCAATGTAAAAATTGTACCTTTTCTTTAGAATAAACCATTTCGTTATCAGTTCGTTCCTAATGGAAATTTGTGAAATAAACACATTTTATTAGTGTTTTTTCTTATGATTATTGGTTGAGTAAGAGACTTATATTTGGGATTATGGGTTAGTTCATAACTTTGCTGAAATCATCAGATCCATCAGCCTCTTTGGATTGTTAGAACAATACGCCATTTTCTTTAATATTTGTACCCATTGCGCCATTTTTTACTTTAAAAATCTGGGATTTTTTAAATGTGTCAAATGCCTGATTTTATAAGCTTTAGCCCCAAATTTTCTTCAGATTTGGGCTACTTTTTATTCCAAGATAATATGATGTTGTTCTAAATGGGAAGGCTGCCCTCTTAAAATGTAGAATCTGGTCTCCACTGTTTTACATGCACGACCTTTAGAGCCGTCAGATTCGTCCTTAGTTGGCATTTGTGATTTTTCCCATATTTTGTCAATCGGTTTCGGGTTTTTTGGGGGTTTCATGTTTGCTCATTAGTAATGGGAAGAATGTCCATAGCTCTAGATCATGACATGCATGTCTTAGTTCATCATCGATAGCTCTTTCATTGAATACCCCATTTCTAGTATTGAGCAATTGTCAAAATTCAAACACTACTCTAATTTCTATAGGGCATTGAGGACATATCAATATCTGATATTTAGATCAGAACCCGAGTCTACTCCTACTCTCCTAGAACACTTGCCTATTGCATCAATGGGATGTATTATGTTCTTGATATAGTTTGTTATACTTTGGTTATTGTGAAATATTGCTGACCGTTTTCCTAATGCACTCGGTTCTTGTGTGGTCATGGATGATAAGACTTCTAATTCTTTACCAATTGCATGTAAACTATTGCAAAAGGAATTATGATGGATGGTATAAGTTGTACATCCATCTTTGCAGGATGAGCATCCAGAATCAAGGGGCTAGCTTATCTTCCTCTGCGAAGCTGAAGCGTGGGCGTCCATGGGAGGAAGAGAGTGTTCAAGGGGGCAACACACCTGCAACACCCGAGACTGACTATCTGAACAGAAACAAGCAAAGTATGTGGATAGGTAACCCTGCCTCTATTGACATGTTAGGTCAGATGGTTTCTGGTGTCGTAGAAGGATCATTTGATGCCGGGTATCTTCTTAATGTTAAGGTAGCTGATACCAATGTGCATCTCAGAGGTGTTGTTTTTCTACCGGGACTAGTTGCTCCCATTACTGGTGCAAACGATGTGGCTCCACATGCTAAGATGTACAAAAGAAAAGATATTCCTATCCCGTTTCTAAACATTCAAAGTCGTCTCCATGTTGCGAATCCTCCATCGGGGAAAAGTCAGAAGCCCGTTGAGCAAAAAAATGGCGACTCTAACATTTCAGACCAAGGTCTACATACTGGGCTTCAGCCTGGTGCCTCGGTTGCTAGTGAGAGCCAATCTGCCTCTGTTCTCCTTCCTCCAGCTAGTATCTTGCCAATAAATGAAACCGTTCTATCCCTCGGACAAAGGGTCATGCAAGAACAAATCTTTGATTCCCTATTGCATAATGAGAAAGCTGTCGGACGGCATCTGTCACTGCAGCGATTTGAAGGGCCAAATGCTAATGTAGAAGCTCCTGAAGCATCCGAGCCTGTGTCTGCAAATGATGCTACTAGTTTGTCAGCTACTGAGACTATAAAAGTCCCGAGTCCTGATCTTAAGCCAAAGAAATTGGCTCATGATGATGTGAAAAGTCTTGGTGTTGATAACAACGAAAGTCCCGAAGATATTGATATTTCCGAAGATACTCGATTGGAGCTTGCTCAGAAGATTACAAATGGAGCTAACACGTCTCACATCGATGGTTTATCTGCAAGCGATGATATTACAACTACGGCAACAGCTCCGTTCCCTGCATCCATGACCAGCCTACCAATAATGATATTCGGGGAAGAAACTACTCCGTTTGAACCCGAGTTTGCTGCTGAAGAATCCATTCTTCCAACAATGGTTGTCCCTGAAGTTAACAGTTCCACAACGACTACCGACACTTACAGTGTGGAGTCTAATGCCAAAGATGCGATTCCAACACCACATTCTTTGTTTTGGAGAGATTGAAATTAAAGGCGGAAACAGGACGAGCTTGGAAGATAGACCTAGAGTGGTTTATGGTTGAAAGCAAATGCTTAATTTGGATTTGTTCGTGATGGATACTCTTTGCAATTTACCTTTTAACTTCTTTCATTTCTACTTCATTAATCATTCTCATGCTTCTGTTAGATGGCAAAAATTAGCAATCAAAGCTGGGGATGGCAAAAAAAAAAAATGTCCGACTGATTTTGATTCCATCTAATACGATGAGGTTGGTTTTCTCTATAAGCTTTGGGTTTTAGGGTTTAAATCAAATGCTTAATTTAGATACACTGCATATGCAGATCTTGAACTCAACACCTCTAAGGATAATAATAATCCCATTATCTACTAATGTTACTCGACTCGAATTGATCGAGATAATAACAAATCACTTAACCATTAATGTTATTCGGTTCATATTGATCGGATTTGAGTTTTAAAGAGAACCTGTTTTGTCTTTAAATAGTATACGTGATTCCATTGTGCCAAGAGCGGAAAATTTTATGTAAGCTGAAAGCCCGGCCTAAATGAGTCATCCTCTGTCTTTTTAATTGATTTCCCCCCTTCAAGGTTCAATGTTTTCTGGGTTTTCAGATTCAAACAGTTTACGAAGCTTCAAGACCGAATTATTGAAGTTAAAATCCGCAAAACCTTTTCATAATTTCTAGGTTTTCTCTTGAAGAAGATGGATATCATTTCCCAATTACAAGAACAAGTGAATTCAATAGCAGCCCTAGCTTTCAACACTTTCGGTACACTGCAACGAGATGCTCCACCCGTTAGGCTCTCCCCTAGTTACCCAGAACCGCCTCCCAGTACCACCGAGGACCCAACCAATTTCGCCGAACAACCTAAGCTTATGAGTGCCGCTCTTGTCAAGGCCGCTAAACAGGTGAGAATGGGGTAAATTCAATGATTAGATCTTGTGTGGGAATGTCAAATGATTATTGTTTCTGGTATTTTCTTCTTCTTTTTTCCACAGTTTGATGCGTTGGTTGCCGCGCTTCCGCCTTCGGAGGGAGGTGAAGAAGCTCAGCTTAGAAGGATTGCTGCACTACAAGTAAATATAAAGAGTCTCCAATTGTTTATTCGTTTCTGAATTTCATGTTGGAATTTCTTTGTTTTGATTGTCGTTTTTGTTTCCTTCATTTGTCTTCCAGGCTGAAAATGATGCTGTGGGTCAAGAACTTCAGAAGCAACTGGAGGCTGCTGGTACATTTTTTCACATCCTTTGTTATTCTAACATGATTGTGAGTGTCGGAATCGGGTATGGGTCTTATATCAGTACCGAACCTTTATCCGGAGTACTTCAAGAAAAATCGGATAGTCCTGGCGATACAATCATCTTACATGTTCTTAGGAGATAGTAACAGAGTGACTTTTCTCCCAGTTTCTGCCTCCTTAATGAATAAAGAGAGAGAGAAAGATGATTACGAAAATACTTACTAGTAGGTGTAGTACATATTTAAGACCTAGGCTGCTCGTTCTCGAGATGTCTGGACTAGATTGGACAACTAGACAATAGTTGCTAAGTTTGCTTAGACTCTGGCTTTTTGTGATGTATGTATGCAAGTAGGAGTATGTTAGCTTTGTGTCGGTCGTTCCCCGAGTTTTTGGTTCGTTTAACTGCTATATATGTAGCTTTCAACTTATCTTTCTTGGAAGTTTAACCATATAAATACGACCGGAGATTTGAGTTCCCTGAGTTTAAGTTGTGGATCTAGATTCTAGACTATAACTTCGAAGAAAGGTTGTCTAAACTATCCGTACAATGTTTCCTTGTTTTTGTTTCCAGAGAAGGAATTGAAACAAGTTCAGGAGTTATTCACTCAAGCAGCAGATAATTGTCTGAACTTAAAGAAACCAGATTGAAGTCCTTTATGCAAAGGTTTATTGTATACTTAAGTTCGTATAAAACTGCTTCATCTGGACTTTGATTCTGCACTAAAATTCAATCAATGTACTCTTTCTATATTTGCACATTTTCAATATCGACATTTGCAAACAGATTCGATGATTATTGGATTCGATAACTATTTGACCTGTTTGAGCAGTTGGACTGTCTCCTCCAATCTTCTATCCGTGATCTCTTTCAGGGCAACAGTACGAGGTTTCCTGCTGGACAAGGAACATAACTTAAGTTGTGGTAAAAGGGGTTTTGGAAGGAAACAAGGTTTAATGGTTTAAAGAATCTAACATTTTTTCAGTGCTTAGTTTCTTGTAAGTTCTTCAAAAAGATTGTGCAGTCTCTTCAAAAGAGCAGGGAACCTGTGTACAGCTTTAACACCTTTCGGATTCGAACATATCTTCTTCAGGATCTCAGAAGCAATAAAGTAACCTTCTTCCTTGTTCCTGGAAATGAAAATTATAGCCAAATCAGACGCAAAACAACATAATATGATACATTATCTTGAATTAGGGGGAAGTAAGAAAACCTTAGCATCTCCCATAAGATTGTCTCTACCGATGGATGGAGTGTCAATTAGCACTTCGGTTTCTGAGTGTTGAGAATGCATGCTTTAGAACCTCCTGATAGAGGATGCTTTGACTGGCCGAGCGAATCTGTTTCATTAGAATGCCGATTGCACCCACGGCCGCAAGTTCTTCATAGCATTTCAGAGAATGGGCTGTTGCCATATCTGCAATTTAAGAGTTGGCATAAGTATGTAGATTCAATCTCATTTTAGCTCATCAAATTAGCCTTCGCTCATTTCAAGGGGTTCTTTATGTGGATCATATTATGCCCTACAAATTGACCCTACAAAAATTTTTTTTACAGAAGAAACTTGTATATATTTTTTAATAAACTGAATTTCAAAAAGAATCATACAAATTACATTGCTCCGTACAGCCACTATATATCTTCATTTCAATCTATATTTTAAATAATTTTTTTCTTAAATATTTATATCTGATTAAATAAAAAAATTAAATCACACAATTTTAACGTATTATATATGGAGGACATTTTATAATTTGGAGGTTTTCTACGAAAGTTACTCTCAATTTAGTGTTGGGGACAACCTATTATCTTATCTCCCCTTATCCCATTACATATGGGAACAAATATATATGGGATGTGCTTAAATGAAACTACAAATATATTATAATTCATGAGTTGAAAGGAACTGCCTTGCATAACGAGTCATTAAGTATGTTATTAATATCCCACCCAAAGCGATTCCAGTGGTTCGTACCCTCCACGCGCATTCTGATTTGTGTTGCATTCGTCATTAAACAAAAACATTACCGCTATTATATGTTCTATGCAATCCGTTTCTTCTTCTTGCTTCTTTCAAAAAGAAGATCTCGTTTAGCGGAAAGCGGAAAAAGAATCTGTTTCGATCTTCAAGACCCCCCCAAAACAAAGTGAAAATCAATTAAGCAATTTGATCGAGTTAGCATTTCGATTGTTTTTGTTCTTTTGTATTGTTATAGAAATTTGAAAAGGAGCTCTCTTTTATTGTGTAAAATTAAAAAAAATATGGCTCAAGCCATTGAAGAATGGTATAAGCAGATGCCGGTCATCACCCGCTCTTATCTCACAGCTTCTGTTGTTATCAATATTGGTTGCTCTCTCGAAGTATGCCTCTTATTCCATTTTTTCTGGATTTATTTATTTTTCAATCTGGTCAATGATTTTGATTGTTGAGTTTCAATTTTCAATGATTTGGACACTTTTTTTATGTTTATATGCAAATGGGTGTGGTTAGTTTAGGTTGTTTTGATCCGTGTTTGTCTCAATTTAATGAAATTTATTGATTCACATTGGATTTGATCCATGGGTTTTCACTCATGTTTCAATAAAGTTAGGAATTTGGGCAGGAAACATTTTTTGTATGATAGGCAATTTATGATTTATATTCCCATCTTGATTTTGATAATAATTAGAACTTGTTTGCATTGTTGTGCTAATCTGATTTTTCTTTGCAGATAATATCACCTTATAATCTGTACTTGAACCCTACACTTGTGGTTAAACATTATCAATTCTGGCGCCTCGTTACTAACTTCCTATACTTCCGCAAGATGGGTAAATTTCATGTGCTTTTATGTCTGAATGTTATGATATCTCTAGTTTGTTATGCGGTGGACCAACGTTATGAAAATGCCATAAATGTTTTTGCTCAATAAATATACATACTCCTACCGAAACAATAAGAGCCGACTCTATTATGATTCCATTTTTTAGTGAAAGTATGGAAATGCAGTTGTCTATTCTTGTTGTTTTAAAAGCTTGAATAGAATCAGTATAGATAGAAGTGAAAGGAGTTGGGCTTTAAGAACAAAAATAAATTCTATATCACCCTTCGTTTTTTTTTGACTTTCTTTGGAGTTTACATCATGAATGGCATTGAATATCTTTATGATTTGTATTGCTTATCCGAACATGTCTATGTGATTATGATTGATTATAGTACTCTCAAATTGATTAGCACCTTTAACATGGTACCCCTTTATATGCCAGATTTGGATTTCATGTTTCACATGTTCTTTCTTGCTCGATACTGCAAACTCCTTGAAGAGAACACTTTTAGGGGAAGGACTGCAGATTTCCTTTACATGCTCTTGTTTGGAGCTTCTGTCTTAACTGGCATTGTGCTTATTGGCGGAATGATACCTTATCTGTCGGCATCATTTGCAAGAATCATATTTCTAAGCAATTCATTGACATTCATGATGGTAAGCCTATATGCGCTCGGTTACATGCAAAATACGTTTTATTCAGTGTTTATGTTTTCTGATAGCCATTTTGGAAGCCATCTTATTTACCACAACTTGTAGGTTTATGTGTGGAGCAAGCAGAATCCTTTTATACATATGAGTTTTCTGGGTCTTTTTACTTTTACGGCAGCTTACTTGCCCTGGGTGAGTCCTTTTATCTTGAGCATGTTTCATCTATTTCAATGAACTTACAAGTTTCGAACAAAAAAGAAAAAAATGGTTATGGTGAATTTTCTCATGGGGAAAGAATTTAGTCTTTCATCATTTTTTGGTTTTATCATACTTTGCCCAGTTGCAGAGTTATAATTGCTTCTTTTCCTTGTATGGCTTTTAGGTGCTTCTGGGATTCTCTGTCCTTGTTGGTGCTAGTGCTTGGGTGGATCTCCTGGTGCGTTTCCATTTCCTAAGCCTACTTTATGTTGAAATATTGGCATGGTATTATTAGTATGAATTCTATGCATTTCTCTGAGTTCATTTGTGTGTTCACCCGAGTGACTACAAGCTTTACCAGCGTAACTAAGCTTTTCATAATCATCATATATCATCATCACTTTTGGAGAGGTCTCGATGTGATTAGTGTGGAAAAGAAAAGTGTCCTGATTTGAAGGAGAAAGTTGCTTGGTCTCATCTGCTGTATAAGAACCATTAGAGTCCTTTATAATTTATGCAGTGGTCCTATAGACTGCCCCTTGTTCTTATCTCTTAATTTGTGCTTGCCCTTACTTTGTCAACTAAATATTTTATTTATCCAGGGAATGATAGCCGGTCATGTATACTATTTTCTCGAAGATGTATATCCCCGAATGACAGGTCGCAGGCCCCTAAAAACTCCATCTCTCATCAAAGCACTGTTTGCGGACGAGGATGTAGTGGTAGCACAGCCTGCAAATGTGAGATTTGCTCCCCCACCCGCAGAGGAACTTCACAGGGATTAATTAGTCCACCCTCCACAAACTAGACCAGTGGAGATTACCTTGGCCGGTTTGATCTCTGCAAAGTGTGGTTCGCCATTTCGTAGAAAAATGTTCAAAGTTGCATGCTAATTAAGTGGTTTTGCATTAGCAATGTGTATAGGTCCTACTGGATTTATGTGGATCCATAGATTTTTGTAATTTATACCTAGACTGGGTGCTTTTCTTAACATTTATAATGAAGTACGACAACATTACATGATATTGTGGAAGCGTGGAAATGAAATGAAGACATTGAAAGATCTATTCAGTGATGATTCCGAAAATGATCTATGGATAAAAATATTTGGTATTAAAGAGTGAATAACCTGGAAGGTTAATGAATTGACAAGTTGATAAGTATTGGTTCTGGAAGCTATTCATCTGGAGTTGTTCGATAATCGGATTAATCATCTTTGATGGTAAAGATCCTGAATACCCTTCAGATTTCGTAGAGCTTCCGAAAATTATCCGAGTAAGATGATCCTAATAAATTATATTCTGAATAACTGATGAATCCGTCAGTTATTCAATTCTTCCAATAGTGATTCTAAATTCCAACATTCTATCGACATACTGAAGATCTGTGTTTCTCTGCTTGATAAGATTATCCAGTACCTCTGAATAATATCTGTAAACTCTGATGTGTTCCCTAATCATATAAATATTTTATCTGATTTCTGACTTGAATTTTGTTCTGATACATGACCTGAATTCTGTTTTGATTTCTGATCTGGATTCTGTTATGATATCTGTTCTGAATTCTGTTTTGATTTATGATATATCCGTTTAATGACGGAAAAATGTTTTAATTGGGGGGTATTGTTGAAGGAAGTATTTTAGCAGGTTCCTCGGCTTTGTGCTCAGGGCCTTACAAGTTGTGTGGGTTGGATGTATGGTTCTGGGGAACCTACACATTATGTTGTGTTAGGATGTGGGTATATATATATATATGTTTTAAAAAGATCTAAAAAGTTACATGGTTTTTGGGAACACACTAGATAATCTATTCTGATCTCCTGAACTCAGTCACCTGAAATATTTATATGAACTGAAAGCTCATTGTCCGTTACCACATGAAATATCAGTAGGATCTCTGCTCAGCATAAAAATCTGTAAGTGTTCAGAAACAATAAAGAAATATATGTTTATTTGTATCTGCACGTTCATCAGCATCATCTGGTAGTTCTGTATGTATTACTGAGCTTTCCAAAGCTCACTCTGTTACTCAACATTTCAGGTTAAAAGAATTGTACCAGTGCAACTATCGATTTCAGTAAGGGAGTTCTTCCGGTGCTGTTTGCAGAGTACGATACATGTGATTAGGGGGCATGTAATTGTATTTTGTTTTATATACGAATCTGAAAATCTATTTTATTTCGAATATTGATAACTTTTATTTTGTACTCATAAATGATTTTATGAGTTTACAAGTATTAATAAAAGTTTTTAATTTTCCGTTATTTTTACAATGGGTCGCTCCGGTGGCCCTAATGTGACACTCCAGATTGGATCGGGTTATCCGCATCGGTCTGAGGGGGTTATATTTAGTGGTATTAGAGTTATGGTTTGAGTCAAAAAAAAATTTCAAGATAGACTGGCCGGTCGAATGTCAAAAAATGTCTGATCAATACATGCCCCTATACTACAATCGTACCTCTCTGAGCCGGAACTCCAGGGCTGAGTCCCTATCTGTGATGAGTAAACCGAAGTTTCTATTCGTTAAGGCTATACTTGTACAAAAAGGAATACCAGTAACATCTGTCTAAACGCTGTTAAGTATCTCACGAGCCTTGTGTGAATTATTCATCTAAGAAATTCTGACTCGACTCCGGAAATGAAATTGGGATATGCTACTGCTCTATGAGTCTATTCTCATGAGCAAGACTGAATTGATTACTCAAGGAAATTTTCGTTCAGATTCTTTTATTGAATTGAGGGAGAGTTCTGATAAGAATGTATGTTCAACTGGTTTAGGATTAGTGGATGATCCGTATTTCTATAAGAGCTACATGAAAGATATGAAAGAACTAATGGAAGTTTTATTTCTGTAATAATGTGACATGAATGAATTTCGAGGACGAAATTTTTTTAAGGAGGGAAGAATTGTAACACCCCAATTTAGGGGCTAAATTTAAGAAATTATAAAGTGGTGAATTTAATTGGTATTTTTGAAGGAAACGATTGATTAAATTATAAAATTTCAAAGTTGATAGACCGTTTTAAGAAGTGCAGGAAATTCAGTGACTAAATCCATGATTTACCCACTTTTTTTTTGGAGAAAATTATAAATCTCTCCCTCGTATGTTCAGCAGAATATTTCCCTAGTTTTCCCTCTCCAACACCCCTTCTTTCAACTCCGATCTACTCGCCGTCCGACCTCCGATCGACGAACCGAAACCACCACCGTGTTCGTTGTTGAACGAGGAACAAAACCCCTCAAACCTTTCGTCATGAATCGTCGCCGTTCATCGTTAATTTCAGTCGGAAGTATCGTCGGTAATAACTCGATTTCAGTTGGTTTTTAGTTGATTCACGACAATCCAGTCATCCGTTTACGACACCTCCCGCACCATCGTGTTCCTTGTGCCATTCCGAGTTCGTCGATATCAACCTTGGTCTCCGTAGACGGCGGCGCGTGAGGAGGTGAAGTAGTCAAAGTTTCCGATTTGTTGGAATCGAGCACTCCACCGTTCAAATTTGTGAACCGAGCTTTGTAAGTGCCTCGAAATCGCTTAAAATAATTTTTAAGAATTGTTTCGTGATTTTTAGGCTGCCGGAAGAGGTCTCACGCGCCCCCACTGTTCATGGGGATGGTCCAAATGACCGGTTTGATCGGTTTTTTTTACCAATTTGATCGGTTACAACCCGACCCGACCCGTTGACCCGACCCGTTGATCGTTGGCTACTGTTGACCAAAACTTTGACAGGCTTTGACTGGGCATTAAACGACCTTTGACTTTTACCGAGTATACCTATCCTGACATTTTTCGATGTTCCAAATCCAATTCCGCAGTCTGTTTTTTGAAATTCGGACCCGAAGGCCTCGCAATTGGCAGTCAAACTCGTTGACTTTGATTTTGATCGAAAATTCCAAATTTTGAAAAGTCATATTTTGTGCTTTCGACGTTCTGAATCCGAATCCAAAGTCCGTTTCGCCAAATTCAAAACCGGTAAGTTATTTTTCACTGATTTATCATCCGATTCGATCAGTTTTTCAGAATTAAGCTCCATTTTTTATGTAATTTCTGTTGATATGGATCCGAGAAAATATTGGAAGATGATTTCAAGTTCGAGGGCGTTCGAATGGAATTTAATGGTCGATCAGTATTGCACGAAAATCGAGGTAATATTTTACTACCTCTTTATGCGTTATAAAACATGTTGGTATTGGTAAATGCATGAATGGAAATGTTTGGTCTCATATGTGTAATTAATGAAGACCTACACTCGATACGAATACGGTAGAAAGTAGGTAACTGAATATGGCTCAGATGACTATTATAAGAAATTGGAGGACAGTTGGAATTAAATTACAAGTTCTGGAATTAAGTGATAAAAGAATCAACCATGAATATGTAAATTATAATTTATCTCATTAAAGGTACTTAGATGATAAATTATGAGAATATTTCTATTAGGTAAAATTACGAAATTACTCTTATGTTGGAAAATGACAAGAATTGTCTCTGGAAGTTGATTAATAAATCTGAAAAGAATTATTGATCTAATAAAACTATTGTTGTGCATAAGAAATGTTAGTTTTACTTGGAAATTATAGATAACTGGCTTTTAACCCCAAGAGGGTTTATGCTAGATACTAGAAGTCTTTTAAGGAATAATTTCAAGATCAAAGAATGTTCGAGGAAGCAATTAATCATAGGATCTCTATATTATATTATTTTCGTTAAGAGCTAATATCGAAATTATCTGGTTAAGAAATTACAAAAATGCCCTTGAGAGGTAAAATAGTCTGAAATTCAGGAACATTTGAATTATCCTAAAAAACCTCGAAATAACGGGAATTGACATGACTACTAAATGAATTAGGTAACCTCAATGAATGAGGATTTAGTAAGTGATTTGGATAAGTCTAGAAACTCTGATGAGTTTACATAGTGTACAATTACGATGATTTATGATTAAAATAATTAAGTACGGCAACATTACATGATATTGTGGAAGCGTGGAAATGAAATGAAGACATTGGAAGATCAATTCAGTGATGATTCCGAAAATAATCTATGGATAAGAATATTTGGTATTAAAGAGTGAATAACCTGGAAGGTTAATGAATTGACAAGTTGATAAGTATTGGTTCTGGAAGCTATTCATCTGGAGTTGTTCGATAATCGGATTAATCGTCTTTGATGGTAAAGATCCTGAATATCCTTCAGATTTCGTAGAGCTTCCGAAAATTATCCGAGTAAGATGATCCTAATAAATTATATTCTGAATAACTAATGAATCCGTCAGTTATTGAATTCTTCCAATAGTGATTCTAAATTCCAACATTCTATCGACATACTGAAGATCTGTGTTTCTCTGCTTGATAAGATTATCCAGTACCTCTGAATAATATCTGTAAACTCAGGTGTGTTCTCTAATCATATAAATATTTTATCTGATTTCCGACTTGAATTCTGTTCTGATACATGACCTGAATTCTGTTTTGATTTCTGATCTGAATTCTGTTCTGATATCTATTTTGATTTCTGATATCTCCGTTTAATGACGGAAAAATGTTTTAATTGGGGGTATTGTTGAAGGAAGCATTTTCGCAGGTTTCTCGGCTTTGTGTTCAGGGCCTTACAAGTTTGTGTGGGTTGGGTGTATGGTTCTAGGGAGCCTACACATTATGTTGTGTTGGGATGGTGGTATATATATATGTTTTAAAAAGATCTAAAAAGTTACATGGTTTTTGGGAACACACTAGATAATCTATTCTGATCTCCTGAACTCAGTCATCTGAAATATTTCTCTGAACTGAAAGCTCATTGTCCGTTACCACATGAAATATCAGTAGGATCCCTACTCAGTATAAAAATCTGTAAATGTTCGGAAACAATAAGGAAATATATGTTTATCTGTATCTGCATGTTCATCAGCATCATCTGGTAGTTCTGTATTACTGAGCTTTCCAAAGCTAACTCTGTTACTCAACATTTTAGGTTAAAAGAATTGTACCAGTGCAGCTATCGACTTCAGTAAGGGAGTTCTTCCGGTTCTGTTTGCAGAGTACGGTACATGTGATTAGGGGGCATGTAATTGTATTTTGTTTTATATACGAATTTGAAAATCTATTTTATTTCGAATATTGATAACTTTTTTTTTACTCATAAATGATTTTATGAGTTTACAAGTATTAAGAAAAGTTTTAAATTTTCCGCTATTTTTACAATGGGTCGCTCCGGTGGCCCTAATGTGACATTCCAGATTGGATCGAGTTATCCGCATCGGTCTGAGGGGGTTACAGATCGTGTACTACTTTTGTTCGGAGTGAGACTGGTGCTCAGTATATCTCTCAGACAGACCCATTTCGCGAGGTGTATTCCTTGTGTACTATATATATATTCTTCTCTAAGGTTCTAATGTTAAGTCTGGTTCAACATCCGAATCTCGTCTACCTGATCGGATATTGTGCAGACGGGGATCAAAGAATTTAAATTTATGAATATATGCCTAATGTGACATTCCAGATTGGATCGAGTTATCCGCATCGGTCTGAGGGGGTTACAGATCGTGTACTACTTTTGTTCGGAGTGAGACTGGTGCTCAGTATATCTCTCAGACAGACCCATTTCGCGAGGTGTATTCCTTGTGTACTATATATATATTCTTCTCTAAGGTTCTAATGTTAAGTCTGGTTCAACATCCGAATCTCGTCTACCTGATCGGATATTGTGCAGACGGGGATCAAAGAATTTAAATTTATGAATATATGCCTAATGGATCTTTGGAAAATCATATACTAGGTATGTTACATGTTATGTTTTCACTTGTTTCGTGCTCGTTATGTCGCAGGTGTCATTTCTTTTTCGGTAGGGGACTTGAGTTCTGATAATGTCATATGTTTGTTCAGATTTAGCTCCTGGTGAGCAGCCACTGGATTGGCATACAAGGATGAAAATTGCCGTAGGAGCAGCCAAGGGACTAGAGTACCTACATGACTTTGCCGACCCGCCCATCATTTTTCGTGACTTTAAAGCGTCGAACATCTTACTAGACGAGAGCTTTAATCCGAAACTCTCCGATTTTGGACTTGCAAAGTTAGGTCCATCTGAAGGGAAGGATCATGTATCAACAAGGGTGATGGGGACCTATGGTTATTGTGCTCCAGAGTATGCCATGACAGGGAAGCTGACAACGAAATCCGATGTCTACAGTTTCGGTGTAGTGCTTCTGGAGATAATCTCGGGGAGGAGAGCTATAGATCTCAAAAGACCGATCGAAGAACAGAACCTGGTTGCTTGGGTATGTTCTAAATTGTGACATTTGCATGCTTTTAGATGGCTTTAGAGTTTAAGTTTATCATACATAATCTTGCAGGCAGAGCCATTGTTTAAAGACAAGAAGTTCACATCCAAGGCCGACCCCCTGCTTGAAGGGAATTACCCCTTAAAGGGTCTTTGTCAAGCTCTCGCGGTTGCAGCAATGTGCCTTCAGGAGGATGCCGAGACCCGACCATTGATCGCCGATGTCATAATCACCGTCGAGTACCTAGCCAGGCTGAAAGAAAATGGAAACATCGTTGCGGAATCGCAAATAAACAATAGTATCGACCTGCCGGACTAAAACAACTAACACCAGATCCAGAATCATCAAAGCTACAAGTCATTCATAACAGTACTAGGATGATGTTTGTGTAGAAAAAAAACTGCCAAACAGTTAGCTAATTCGGTTTAAGGGGCTGTAATGGTTCCGGTAGCAATCATTTTTCCTGTATTCGAATCCGTAACCAGTTCTAAGCCGTGTTTCGGTTGATTCGACAGCAGGAGAATTGCAGACATCATTCATTTTGTTATTTGTAATAGTCTCATTGATATGAACTTCGTTCTTTTCTTCTCAAACTAATTGATTTGCATATCCGGACTATGTTCCAGAGTGTTGTCCTCTTTCGACGCGGTTCCATCGGCAACTTCGAAACATAAAACCATATTATGAACAATATATTTCTTCTCTCCCAAGCAACAAGAGACAATCACAAGAAACATAAAACCATGTTTGAATTCTTAGAATAAATATAAGAAAGAAAGCTAAAAATCCAGATTACATATTATGAACAATACTTTTCTTCTCTTCCAAGCAACAAGATGGTGACTAGACACGGAAGTTATGGACATCGTTTTTAAGGATCCTGTAATTGAAACCAGGGATCCTGTTAAACCGATTCATGTCTGCAACTTCAATCGCAGAACACATACTCGGTAAGAATCCGCTGTCGTTGCCTGCTTTTCGTTTCTTCCGTTTCCAGCCGACGATCGAGAACCAAAAACCGGACCTCGAATGACCATTCGAGCAATCCATTTCCACTCGTACACCGGATTTCCATGACCTACCACTACTACTACCACCACTACTACCACCACCAACAATACCCTGTGCTTCTAACTCGAAATTGGCGAAGTACTCAATTTCCTTCTTTAGCAGTGATCCTACGGTTCCCCTTGTGCCTATTGCAATAGGAGCTGAACCACCAGCGGCGGCGGCGGCTGCCATTTTTTTTGTCAGGGAAAAAGATGGCGTCTTTGAAGGTGGATTTATGCAGCATTTTGGTCTTTGTTGGAGGGTTTTTCAGGTTGAAGAAAGTGGTGGCCCCTGCTTGTTTTTGGATTTGAGAGCATCTTCTCTTGACCTTAATAAAGTAGTTAACTTTATTAAAGTGGACAGCATGAGTCTCTGCATAATTGGAGCGTTGGATGGGGTTAACATCATCATTTTGCTTGCTTGTGATTTGCAGTGAAAAGCATGTAAATCGCAATGCATGTTTTCCAATTGGTTTACTGTCTTCTTCCTTTACCAGAAAAATTGCTATATTCCCACAGATTTTAGGACTGGTTCGCATCATCTCAATTAGGAATAGGCAGGAGTAGGTTGAGTTTTTGGTCTATTTGAATTTGACTCGAGTTTTTCATTGTTATTTGATTTGAAATTAAAAGAAATTTTATTCAATTTAAAAAATAATCTAATTGTTAGATAAAATTTTTATATAATATGATTCGACATAAATATATATATATATAGAATTTAATTTTATAAAGTCAAATAAGAAATTAATTCAAAAATATAAACAGGGGTGTATTATTATAACAATATTTGAATATATGTAAGTGATAATTTATTTTTTATTCTATATTTAAATTTGATTCAATATTACCCTTTAAAATTTTCGACTCCACTTAAACTTATTTCTTTTATTAGAAAAATTATATGTAATCAGATCAAAATTTATTGAATATGAATTCCATATCTATCCCTATCCCTATCCCAATCCCAATCCCAATCCCAATCAATAACGTTAGCCACCAGTTCAATAAGATTAACAATAAACTTTAGAATTTGTTTATTTATTTAAATACAATTTGTAAATTTATTTTCAATTTTAGGTTATTAGGTAAGGGGTCATAAGGTAGGCTCTTAGTGCCGATGATTTCTCTCCTTTGCTTTTGTTTTTATATAAAAAAATTCAACCTATAATTATATATTTTTTATTAGTTTGAATTATTACAAGGGGTCATACACCTTTACAGTTGGCTAATGGAATATATATAACAATGGCCAAAGATCAATTTCTTACAGAAGAATAACAAAAGGGGAATGAAAAATACATTTTTATTTCCCGCAAATGTCTGTTATAGTTTACATGGTAATAGTATAAGCTATGATAAAGGATGATATGGTGTGAAGGTATCGGACATGATCCTTTGATGTGTAAATCCATGAGTGATTATTAGTCAGTTTGAATCCAAGTAGTGATGTTATTATTTAATGCAAATAATAAACTAATTTAAAATTGTTATGCTAATTAAAATTATAACATTAAAACACAAATACCCAAACTGAAAAATTAGAAATGAAACAACCCTATACAAAAGAAGTAAGAGAGACCATTGGGCATGGCCTCATAACACATAACATTAGCCAATGGGTCGATCCCACGAAGAAACTGAAAGATGGTTTGAGTGAGTACAAGAAAATTAAATTTCTATATCTTCCCAGTAAAAAAGATGTAAAAATTTTACACTTTGTTCATGTAATGAATGGTTGACACTGGCGGATTCAGGCTCGGCTTTAATGAGGGGCGTCATAGGACACCCCAAAAATTTTGAAAAATTTATTTATATATAAATTTAATATAAAAATATTTAAAAAAAAATAGAATCAATATATTTTTGAAAGAATATTGTTACTCTTAAACATAAATTGATACCTATTATTTATTTTCATTCACTCAAAAAGAAATTATTCATAAATTTTTAAATTTGACACCCCAAAATAAATTTTCTAGCCCTGCCTAGATGGTTGAGTGAGACCACAAATGATTTTCTTTATATAATCCCCAAAACCGAATGGTCCCCCCCCCACCCAACACCACTTTTTCTTTTTCTGTAATTGTTCATACACTATTTTACGTTGGGAAGGTGACAGCAATACCTTAGCTTCCGATTGGAGGCGAGCGCGTTTTTGAGGGCAACGTCGAGACTTGCGCCTTCACGGAATATCGAGTCATACAGCTGACAGACGAACCTTGATAGTTCCTCTTCTTCATCCCCAAAACCTGTAGGAAGGTACTCATTCTTCTCCATGTCACTGTCCCAGTCACTTGCAGGACTGATGGGTTCGGGCTCAAACTCCTCATCTTCGGCATCTTCCTCACCAATCTCGAACCTCCCATTTTCCATAGAGTTATATTCTCCTGTTATATTGACTGATGCATCATGGGGCTCAGCTGCAGGGCATATAACAGCTTTGGCCCCGGAATCTAGAAAGGCCTTGATCAAATTTGCGTTGGGACCGTAAGTTCCCGTGAAGATTATGATCCTATCCCTCCAGGCTCCAACCTAGCATTATTCAACCAAGCTCAGGAATCACAGTTCATGATCAATAGAGAACACAAATAAAATAATATAAAACAAGTAAACAAAGACTTTGGGCGCCATTGAAAGGGAGTGAGGTGAGCTCATTGAATAAGACAGACACCAATGGCCCTAAGTTGACATGAACAACATCAAGAATGAATGTCATTTGTCTGAAAGCTGATGATAGTTAATACCGCAGGCTTATAGAAAATATAATCATCATGGTCTTAGTAACATGCTTCGATTCATTCGACGTTTAGAGGCAATTCTCTTGTGTCTGGCAAGACCATCTAGATCTATAGAATGTTTAAGCAACTAAAACAAAGAAAAGTACACTAATCTTGTAAATGCAACATTGCCCTAAGACAAGCAGCACATAGTACATCTATAGATATATGGAATCATGTGTTTTGATCTGTAAATCACAAAATCAAGCAAGAGAAATATACATACCATCCAACGAACATCATCGGGTGTCATGTGCAAAGAAGGGACTGTACGTCGAAACATGTATGCCGCAATTTCAATATCATCTTCCACGACCTTTAAAAGATGTCAAGAAAATCACAATAGAAGTTTGTTAGATTTGATAACAAAGAACTAACAACAAAGACACTAAAAGCAAATGAGAAATGAATGCACACTTGGGTTTGGCGTCCAATATATCTATGGCCAATGTTTCCAACTTGGAAGTATGGTTTAAAGCGGATCAAATCAGCAATAGTTGTAATATTGGCAAAAGACGAGACACCCTTCTGACGCTGGCTCTGTAATACTGACAACATGCTCAGCTTAACGCTTTGCAGAAACTTATCAGCCAGTTCTCCAGGTTCAGCCACAACAAACACGTCATTTTGCCAACTAGAAAAAAGAAACATCGAGAAGGTTAGGATGAGGCAAAAGCTACACGCAAAAGTAATTACACAAAATAGAGGGTCTTTTAGACCTTAGTACTGAGCCAACTGAGTCATTTTGAAGGGCCAAATGTATAATGCCCACTTGTGGTAGGTTCTGTAACTTCTCATGCAAAGACCGCACGGGTAAAGAGAGCTGCCTGGAGGCTGGAGGAGAAGTTGGGGGTGATGTAGCTGTTTTTCCTGATTGTAGTCCATCCAAGCTTAAAGGCGGGACAGTGTCAATTCGGCCAAGCTTCTGCATGCCAGCATCAGTACCGAATAAAAGGGGGCTTGAAGGAAAATTTCCAGTGATCAGAGGAGAAGTAAAGGGTGTTGGAAATGTTGTTGCCGGTAATGTCTTCGAAAATCCAGATATGTCATGCAAAAGAGATAATCTAATTCCAGTTCGAGCACAAAATGACTCAAGTGCACGAGCATGGTGCACAATTCTTCCCGAATCAGGACTATGCAAAGCTTCAACAAGTAGTACATTTCGCCTCCAGCCTAATGAAGGGCTATTCTCATCTATCAAATCTCAACACAAAATAAATTAAAAAGATTCAGCAGAGCACCCAGGAAGTTAGAATATATAACTATTGAAAACAAGGCATTATACCTGCATTTGGCACCTTTGCCATGGCAAAATATTGAGATTTCAAATTTTCTGTCCACTTCTCATCATGTGCAAAGGGCAGAAGAAGTCTTTCACATGCATTCTTGAAGGCCTCAGAATTGTTTTCAATGTAGTCCTTTACGCAAGCTTCCAACTTCATCCAAACTGTTGGATCAGTCTCATCCAGCTCCATGTCACAACGTTCATCAACTAAAAGGGCAACCATAAAAAATGAAGACTCCATAAGAATTTCCCTAAAGAGAAATTGTCAATGAATGAATTCCAAGATGGTTTTTTTATAAGAAAATGGTTTGCTGAAGAAAGTGATTGAGAGTGGAGCCATCAACTGGGGTTGCAAATCCCAACACTCATCAAGGAACCAAAAAATATAATACCTTGATTAAACCGGAAATATCGAATCTCAGGAAGCATAGGTATCAATGTACTCATAACTTCCTCAGTTCGGTCCACAGAGCATGCACTCTCGATCAGCACTTGCCCAGTATCTAGATAACGCCAACCACCTTTTCGTGCCTACATCAGAAGAGAAACTCACGAATCCATGGAAAGAAGTAATGGAATGAAAAGGCAACTAGAAAAATTAAAATCTCTAGATTTTTTTGTTCTCCAATTAGTCAAAATATAAGAACTACTTAGAAACATATTGAACTTGGAACATCATAAAAAGCACCTGCGCAGCTTCCTGTTATTTTGTAGAATTTACAAAATGAGGATTTGCAATTCAAACAGTCTGGTACTATGAATAGTTTTAAGGCCTGTTAAAGCTAGACTTTACTTATGTAAAAAAAATACAACATAGAGTAGTTACCTTTGTAGGTACGGAACCACAACCAATTGAAACTATACAGTCAATTTTTGTATCGGGCCATAAAAGTTGTGCTTCTCTTATGGAAAAGATAGTTGGATTGTTTGCCACTATAGCACCATCTTGCCAGCGGTATACATCTACATAAAAGGTTAAGAAATAATATGAAGGTTAAGTTCAGACATTCTTAATAAAAAAAATTAAGCTAGCAGAAGAAAAATACCATCTGAGAAATCATCAAGATAATATGGGGCAGCAGAAGAAGCTCTTATAGCTTGCCATATATGGTGTTTACAACTTCCCATAAAAGCACTTCGTTTGTAGCCGACTTGAGCACCTGTAGTTGGAGATCCTAGAATGGTAATTCCTGAACTTTCTGATATTGCAAGAGGCACCTCTGGCGTTCCCACAGGATACTGCACATTAATAAATATATAAATGTATAAACAAACTCTTAGAGCTGCCAAAAATTACCAAAATGGATAATAACTTATTGTACAGATATCTACAATGAGTAATATAATACATGAACCCAATTAGAGTTCATATTATATGATAGAAGAAGGAATTTTTTACCACAAACCTGATAATTGCGGAATATAAATGGCTGAGCCGGCATAACGCTCACCAAAGTTGACACAACAAAAACTTTAGGAATGTTTTTCACAGCAGATTCGATTAGTAGGTCGCCATCCTCATCAGCACACATTTCCTTTAGCAACCTTTCAAACTGATCTGCACTGTGCTGCAATACTCTATGTTATACCATCTCGTTGAAAGAGAAGGATACTTCAAAAGGTAAAACAAACAGGGCCATTTAAATCATCTATTTTACTATAGCAAAACACCTCTGAAAATGATAATAACAATATAACAAGCAGAATTGGTTGCCATGTTTTATTGATTAAAGGCAATATAGAATGGGCAACCCTTAAAGTAAATTTAATAAATCCTCTGAAAACCCTGAAAACATATTGTAGGAACACAAAAAGTTATCATTTGTTTGGGGTATACTTTCAAATTAATTCCATGCCTCTTCTTGCATTCATAGACATACAATTTCAACTATGTTGCTCGGATTCGTCGTTGTTATTCAAGTGCCCGTGTCTGACACATGGGTATGAGGATATGATCCACCAAGGATCCTCCAAATACATGGAAATATATATATATATATAATCTGGCCATGCCCATATCCGACACTCACACTGAAGTCCGAAACATAGTTTTCAAGGAAAAGATGAAAAGAGCCTCAGCATTACCAAAGAAAGAAGCACAATTTCACATAAAAGAGAAATTCATACTTTAGATCCATGTACAACAACTCTGAAACTCTGTGAAGAACTTTTATAAAGCAGATCCAACTTTTCTCTCCAAGTTGCGGCTTCATTATCCTTTGGCACAGGTTCAGCAAAGACAAGTTTTCCTACAAAATAATTTAGATTTTGATAAACAAATTGAAACCTAAATTGAGTGTTCTTAAAATTAATATTTATGTGGCATACTAACCAAGATTTTTGTATATTTCTTCACATTGGTCCAAGGTCATCAATTTAATCCCAAGGGCAACAGCAAGCATGCCTCCAGTTGATGTCCCACAGATAAGGTCAAATAGCTCATGTATTCTCTTTCCAGTTCCCTTCTCAATTTCTTTAAGGATCTGCACAGTTGCAAGACCTTTCATGCCACCTCCATCCATTGAGAGTATGCGTAGGCCTTGCTTTGGTATCTGTCTTCCTCTTATAGCACGTCTCAAGTTTTCATTCTCTCCTACAAAATAACATAATTGGATGATCCAAGATCCAAATATTCCCGACAAAATTTAAAAATCAAATGGAAGAAATATACCAAGAATTGCCAAAGCACGAGCAGCAGCTTTATTCACACGTGGTTCGGGTGCAACTGTCAGTCTCATGAGAAGCTCCTTCAAGCTTTCAGAGGTGACAAGAATGCGGCGATTCTCCAGACAGAAGGCCAAATTCCCAACGGCTAACAAAGCAGGCCTTTGCACCTGATTAAATATAAAGGTTTATTTATACATACATTTGATATAAGAATAATTTAGATCAGGATAGTACCTCTGGGTTTTTATGCGCACAAAGTAATTTTAATGATTTCAAAACATCCTTGGTTAGCATCTTCTGAGCTACAGTATCAGATCCGATTGCCAATGTGACCACAACTTGTAGCACAGAAACCAGTTCTACTGGGTCAGGGGACTTCAAAACAGTTTCAATGGGTTGCATGATGTCACATTTCAACAACTGCATTGCCACAGAAACATCTCCACCAAGAGTTGATAGAGCAGAGCAGGCTTGTTCAACCTGACACAAGATAAGAACTATAAAGATTCTGCATAAAATGAATATGTCTGATGTTATTCATAACATGAAAGTACAGTTTACCACATGGCGGTTGTCACTACTTATCATACTTATGAGCTGTCTCACTGCATTCTCATCTTTACCAACAACCACACGATTCCCCTGGTCTTGCATAATTATCTTTACCAATGCAGAGGCCAACAAAGGGTGATGACAAGATGAAAAGCGGAATATGAGAGAGAAAAATGCACTCAGCTTGTGTCTAGATGCACCAAAATAAGAACTATTCTCCATCTGTAATACACACCAGAAGCAGTTTTAATCATAGATTTATCCATGCTCATATGAAAGAATGAGCATACAAACAGCTAATATGTGTAGGTTGTACCTCTATTTGCACATTCACCGATCTTATATTTTCATCAGCCACAATCCTGATATTTGCAAGGGACAAATGGTGTAGCTTGTGTAAAGGCAAGATTTCAGGAAGGAATTCAAGTGGATTACCAAATAACCTAAGAATTTCTAACTTAGCCATAGCCCTGCCATCCAACTGGAGAAAAACATTAGACTAAAGGAAACTATATACCCATGGGCTTAAAGAAATAAGTTGATTGTCAATAAAGTGACCTGAAGTCGAGAAGAGGCCGGACAAGTTTGTTATGTTCCAATGATAGTTCCACCAGCCCGACGCACTGTCTCAGCTCCGCTGCTCATAAATTAGCAACAGAAATAAGGTAATTTTGACAAGTGAGAAAGCAACAGCCTAGACCTTTCAAAATGATGAGAATAATTTTTTCCCTCCTTATATGAAAATTGCAACCTTGATACGGTAATAATTCTATCGGGAACATGATTTAGATGTAAAACTTCATTACTCTCACCAGGAACAGAAACAAGCATGTTGTTGTCAACCCTTAGTACTTTTAAGGTTTTTAGTTCACCAAGCTCAGGTGGTAATACAGAGAGCTTGTTGTGATCAAGATATAGTTTCTCCAGAATAGGCAATTGAGTTAGCTCAACCGGCAGTGTCTGTATCAGAAAGCATGCAACCAATGAGTGTCAAACTACTGAAGCAGAGAAAAAGGAACATGCCTAATTTCTTCATAGATCTCAGTCCAAAATTTTTAATCTTCGTCTAAAACTTTCATTTCAAGCACTCACTACTATTTATACTGCTTTCTTCTTCGACTTTCACACATTCACTATTTCTCATACCAATGTATTCTTCTAAATTAAAAAAAGATCAACAAGAAGTTAAATTAGCCTAGGTTCATACTAAAACTTCCTCGTAATCAACTGTTCCACGTTTCTCAATAAAATCATTTGACCAATAAAAATACATAAACAAAAAGGCAAGGAAAAGAAGCATCCAAAGAAGAAAAATACCGTTAAACCACAACCGCAAAGGCTTAGCAAAGTGGTACTCCTCCAATGGTCACCGCAAGACACCAGGCCACTATCACCAGAGGGAACCAAATTCGACCGTAACAACCGAACCAAAACTCCGACTCCATCACTCTGCTGACCTGACCCGGCCGCCTTAACCATCGTAACCGCCCGCAATGGCTCCTTTCTCTTCTCCACCTTCATCTCAACTCCAACTGAATTTCCATCCGTCTCCCTCAATTCGACCGACACCGTATCTTGCGGCACTGGAAGCGCCACCATCAATTTAGATTGCAGCCTTATCGCCACCTGATCCTCGTCATCCCCCGCAACCCAATCCAGATCGATCCTAAACCCTAGATCGTTCTGATCTTGAGGCGTTGACGATTCCAGTGAAGCCAAAGACGAACTCGCCTGTGGTGTATCGTTTAGATCTTCCGCGGATTGTTCGTAACCGTAGTTTAGAGATAAACGGAAGATCTCCGAAGGACGTTTCCATCCTAGTCCCCAAGACATTGCGATCGGAAGGTCAAAATGCAACGAGGAGAGGGCTCCGATCCCGATCCGGCGGTCGATACGATGTTTCACATTTGAATTTTCTTCACATATAGAAAATGGAAACGATCAACAACAGTTTTCGTTTTTAGGATTAAGATTTTATAGAAATTAAAAGCAAAGCAGCTTTGAAGAAGATAATATACTGAATGAAGAAATTCAAAGCACCCAGCTCTGCCCTTCACACACTGTTCTTTGCCTATTCTTTCCCGTTCGTCGGAGTCGTTTATATTATCTTTTTTAACATTTTTATTTTTCACCAGAACGGCGTCGTATACATAGGCGGCTACGTGCGATCTGGTGCACTCGATTTCAAGTGAAACGGCAGCGTAACATCATTGCTGGGTTTTTATGTTATCTATATTATTTAGTGAGGGTAACGCCGGAGGTTTCTGGCCATCGTGATTATATATTGGGTAAACTACATCAGATGCCATCAAACGTTAGGCATTTTAACGTTTATACTATTGAACTTTTAATTTTGTCAACACTAAATTTTGATTTTCGTTTCAATTTATACCATTGGACTGTTAAGTTATTCACAACAAAATCAAAACGACATCACTTTGGTGAGGTGTCTATTTCGACTGCCATTAGCCATGTCAACAGCCATCAGCTACATCATTATATCATTAACGATTTAACATTTAAGTGGTATAATTGAAATAAAAATCAAAATTGAGTGATGCAATTGAGAAAACTAAAAGTTCAATGGTATGAACGTTACAATACCTAAAATTCGCTAACATCTAATGTAGTTTACCCTTATATATTTGACACCGGCTTATATATATATATATATATTATTTATATTATTAAAATTTTTATTATTTTTAATTATAATATTAAATTTTAATTTTATTTATATTATAAAACTGCTAAATTTCAAACAACACGATGATGTAAATAAAATAATATACATTTTCTGCATTGAATCATTATTTAAAAGTTTATAGTTAAACAAGTCCCTAAAATTATGATTATATCTAAACTGAATCATTATTTAAAAAAATTATAATCAAATTTTAAAATTTTATTTGATCGTACATGTTTAAATATGAGCTAAATTATCTTCACTCAATGATATATTTGAATCTTGATCATCAAGAAATCAATTGCATAAGTCTATATTTTTCTTAAAATTTATTTTTTTTAAATAAAATTAAACTAATCAAGTGTTTTCATGTCAGCATATTTAATAACAAATAAAAAATTATCATATAAATAGTAATCGTTGTTATCTGTTATTAATATTTTTTTTAAATTTTATTTAATCATAAATTTTAAATAAAAAATAATATTTATTTATTTATTTATTTATATCTTATTTTTCATTACTTTCATAGAGAAACACCATTTCATCAATTGTGACTATTGATTCATTAAAAGGAGTGAACCATAAATACCAACCAATTAAGTTTATTTCGTGTAATTGTCGGAATCAAGCAAGAGAGCAGAACATGCTCAAAACTTTCAGGAGTAGCCGATTTGCATAATGGTCGAGTGATCGGTGGTGAGAAAGGGGATGAGGTCGAACACTTCGTGTAGAGCACGGTCATCTGAATGAAAAATGCAAGACACTGGCTGACAAAGAAAGGAACCTTCGATTGTTGGGCTTCAACAATGACTGATACCCGAAACTAAGACCCAAATTTAAATCTTCATTTATTATATAGATTTATATTGAGATAATTCAAAAATATAAATTTATTATAACATTTATTATTTACTTAATATTTGAACATAAATATAAAGCATATGCATGTGAAAGATGAGAGGACAATTGAATATGTCTGGTCATATGTATAAGAATTCCACTTGTGAAATATTGATGAGAAAGTATTTGCTTTTAGACTTTGCTCCACAACTTCCCTTATTTTAGTTGCTTCACCTACTTTATGTCCTAGCTTTGAATGTTACCTATGCCCCAAGGCTGGCATTTTATTAACCTTCACCTGCCCTTTGCCATTAATACAATGTAAATTGTAACCAAAACTCAATAGTCTCCGATACACTTCAATGATCTGGTGACCCATTTACAGCTATAGCTTCAATAGTTGTATTTATAATTCGATTATATTGAATTCATTGTCACAAGAAAAGGGTGAAAAGTTTTTAGAAATAATAGAATTTAATGTATCTTACACTTTGTTAGCAAAAAAAAAAAAAAAAGGTAAATATACTCGAATTCATGTTCTTCAACTTAAGAAAATCAAATACCAAAATTTAATAGATAATATAAAAAAACAATTATAAATTAAATGCTTGAAATACATAATTAAGCACTCAAACAAAGAAACAAAACATGCCAAATGTATTATTGAAGTAAAATATGTAAAGTATATATATATATATATATATATATATAGTCTAATTAGGGTTTCAATTTTAATTCTTACCGAGGCAATATCACAGCCTTGAGAGGGTTCTTCATCACAACAGTGAAAGAATAAGTCTCGGTTAAATCGGGTGGAGCATCCGGAACCGGAATCCACTTAAAAGCTTGAACCATCTTTGCTATCAACAGATTGATGTGCAAAATCCCTAGATTCCAAGCCGGGCAAATCCGTCTCCCTGCTCCGAACGGCACCATCTTCACCGCGCGAGTCCCGGTGACGTCCACGCCGACCCCGTCACCCTGCAAGAACCTCTCGGGTCGGAACTTACCTGGATCCGACCATATATCCGGATTCTCGGTAATCCATGCTGTGTAGAACTCAACGTGAACCCCTGCTGGAATTGTGTAGCCACCTAGCTCGGTGTCTTTTATAACTGCATGAGATAGTAAGAAATGCCCCGGAGGATGTCGCCGGAGCGTTTCTTTGACGACGGCTTCAAGATAAGGCATTTTCTCTATGTCTTCTTCTTTGATATCTCCATCTTTCCCTACACAGTCCACAATCTCTTGGTAAAGTTTCTCTTGGATGTCTTGGTACATTACCAAGTTAAGCATTGCCCATTCAACAGTTGTCGTACTCGTATCGGTACCGGCACTGATCACCTCAGAACATAGAGTAACGTACTCTTCTTCCCCCAATGGACCTCGGGTTGCTGGCTCAAGTCCGAAGAGTGAGTCGATATAGGCTGCACCGATCGGACTCACCATTTCTTGGTTAGGGTTTTCGCCTTTCTCGACGAAAGCTCTTCGGTTATTTATCAAAGGAGCCAAGCACTCAATTTGCCTCTTTCTCAATGCTTTAGCTTCTTTCATTTGCCGTCGAAACAACGGCGTAAGGATCGGCAAGAAATCCGGTAGCTGCGGCGAGGTTACAAGCATTACATCTTTGAGTATGCTCTCGATTTTCTTGATACGTTCCTCGGAGACCTTTGCACCAAAGCATAAACAAATTAAGATGCTACATATAGTGAGCCTGCAATTGCTCATTACCTCAACGAACCCTTTCTCAAAACACTCGCTTTTGATCCTCTCCATGTGGTTTTCAATCGCCCATTTTCGGATCCAACCGCATTGCTTCACTCTCGTAGGGGTAATCAGCTCGGTGACCATATTCTTCCGTAGGGTTCGCCATAGAGGTCCGTACTCGGCGGAGTTGATAGCACATTTACCGACACTAAACACGAGCCGAATCGGCGAGTCCGGTGGTCGGGAAGCGAAAGCAGGGCCTTTCTGAACCAGGGCTTCATGGATGAGTTTGGAATCCGTAACGATCACCATGGTACGTTGCCCCATTTGCAAGGTGAAGATCGATCCGTACAATTTACGTAACTCGCCGACTATGAAGACGTAATGTCGACGTTGAAGGATGATCTGAATCAAATTTCCAACTAACGGCCAACCAGGCGGTCCGGGGGGAAGGTTCTTACGTTTGCAACCAGTGACCGACCAACGCCGCCACCACAGACGGATTAAAATAAGTGCCAAACCAACGACGAAAACGTCCATGAACTCCATTTTTTTCTTCACAAGGAAATCGGAGGTAGTTTGCAGCACGGGAATGAAAATTTGGTGGTAGATTTTATAGAACAAGAAGAGAGAGTGAGAATTAAATGAATTGGATCCACCAGTACATTAATTTCTTTCATCTACATACACTTACCGGATGTGAACAAAAATATCAACTGTCAACGGTGTTTGGGGTCACTAGGATTTAATGCCAAGTACATATTGTTTTACAGCTAATTTCTTGGATCAGTGGCCATGCCAGCATATGTATGTATGCTAATTGCTGGGCCATTTAGTTTATCAAATTGCAGGCGCCGATTTAGTTAGTTACTTGTTAGGCACCCACATGTATTTCTTCCAAAGCATTGTTCCGTGACGTGATTCCGACCGGCGAGCACCTCGAACCAGGTTGTCAATAACGATGAGTTACTTGTTAGGCACCTCTCTCGGGTTTTCTCTTCTTCCAAATCGAGAAGCAGAAGTTGAGTTGAACCTTACTTCCGATCTTTCGTCAACAACTCTTTGTCCAAATTAAAAGGGTGATAATATTTTAAGAAAAGACAATTAGAGAAAACATAAATTATATGGACCAAACTGGGAATTAAGTTAAAGTATAGGGGGAAATTAGCTATTAAACCTTGAATGTATATATCATTTAATTTAGTTTAGTATGACTGTATTTTATTAATTCATTGAAATAAATAACTGTAATTGATGTTTGCTGAAATTAATGATTAGGTGTGGGATGAATGTGTGAATTATTGGTGGATGTCCAATTGATGAGGTGAACCTAAAAGGGTAACCAGGAGTTAATGTCAGCAGGAGCTGCTTACCTACATTATGCACATACGTTAAAGGGTTAACTTCTTTAATGTCTTTATTAGAAAAAATATATATTTGTCACGTCTTTTAGATTATGTTCAAGGGATAGAACCACCACCTTGATTTTATGTCACATCATTCCAAATTTTATATTATATATTTTTTTATTTTTTAGATTTTATATAATTATTTTTAATTTTCAGACGTTGATATTATACTATATTATAGTTTTACATCAACACCCTTTGACTTTTTTAAATCAAATTAATAAATTAACATGAACAAAACGATGTCGGTGATAAAAGAATTATTATTATTCTTTTAGATTATGGGTTCGAGCACCAGGAATATTAAGGGTGGGAGAGTTCAATGTCAAATGACAGAGGGTTATCTATGAACAAATATTATATTGTATTTGTCCCATATTAATAAAAAAAGATAAACAAGTATCTAGAGATTGGTTTAGAAAAAAGCTACCAAGTAGAAGGACTAAGTGTTGTATTATCTCTATATTTATATATTATAAAGGGTAAATTACACATTTAGTACCTAAACTATTAATTTTATTTCAGTACCTAAACTTTTATCTGTTTCAAAATTATACTTTATATTTATTTTTTTGGTTTATTTTAGTACCTCACTGCAAAAATTTAATGAATTGTTGAACGTGGCACCTCTTTTATGGATAAATTATATTATTCATCACTCAACTATTTTCTCACTTCTATTATGGTCGCTAAAGTTTATTTTTTTAAGTCAATTACTTAACATTCAAATTACTCCTAATTTAATTACTTTGATTTTCAAATTTTTTTTATTTTAACTATATATTAATAAAATAATAATAGAAATGTCATGTCATAAAAATTATTAATAAAATCAATTAGAGTGATTAAAATATGAGTAATTTGAAAGTTGAGTAGTTAAATTAAATTTTTTTAAACTTTAGTGACTAAAAAAATAAGTGAAAAGATATTTGAGAGATGTATAATGTAATTTACTCATAAAAATGTAGTGTTGTTAAGATTTTGGCGACGGAGTAAAAACATGCAACAAAAAGTAAATATTATATATAATTTGAAAACAAATGAAAATTTAAGTATTAAAACAAAACAAAAATGATAATTTAATTACATTTATCCGTTGTAAATAGAAGCATCCATGAATTTGATCTGGTCATTATATGATATTAATATAATGAGAAAATCGCCTCAGTGACCAAAAATGCCTTATAATATACGATTTTAACCAACTTTTTTTGGATATGCCAAAATGACCAACAAAATCGCAACGCGAAATAAAAATCGCAACGCGATCTCCAGAATCGCAAATCAGTTTCCAAAATCGCAACGCGATTCTTGAAAATCGCAATGCGATAGTACAAATTCGCATTGCGATTTTCCAGAATCGCAACGCGAATATGAAAATCGCAACGCGAACACATAAATCGCAACGCGTATCCGTAAATCGCAACGTGTATCCGTAAATCGCAACGCGTATCCGTAAATCGCAATGCGTATCCGTATATCGCAACGCGTATCCGTAAATCGCAACGACAATACGTAAAATCGCAACGCGTATCCGTAAATCGCAACGCGATTTTTAAAGCGCCATTATAATCGCTACGCGTATTTTATTTTCAAATTACAAAAACGAATATTAAGACAAAATCCCGTAATCGCAACTCATAACCTAAAACCTAAAATCACAACTCAGTCCCATCTCCATCTCTCACTCTCTACGGCGAAATCCGTCCCCATCTCCGAAGATTTCCGTCCCCATCTCCGGCGAAATCCCTCACAACCATTCACGGTCAGAAATCCCTCACAATATTCAGAAATGGAAAATCAACCTCCGAGGGTTAGTTTTTTTAATTATTTTTATTTTGAAATTTTTGCATTATTGTAGGTTTTTCATATTGAAACTGATGATAAGTTTACTGGTCATTTCAATAATAGATTAACCATTTCACTTAGATTTCATTTCGCGTTACGATTCTCTCGTTGCGATTTTCATTTCGCGTTGCTATTCTCTCGTTGCGATTTTCAAGTTAGTATTTATCTTTGTCTTTGTTCTGTCTTTTGGTTGAAGTAATGCAATCCATTCAAGTTTCAATTTGCAGAAGAGTCGCAACGAGATAAATGAAAATCGCAACGTGAAAATGACTATCTGCAACGAGAAAAATGAAAATCGCAACGAGAGAATCGCAACGCGAAATAAAAATCGCAACGAGAGAATCGCAACGCGAAACCAAAATCGCATTGCGATTTTCATTTCGCGTTGTGATTCTCTCGTTGCGATTTTCATTTCTCTCGTTGCGACAGTCATTCTCTCGTTGCGATTTTCATTTCAACCAAAAGACAAAACAGTGTTGCAAATTTTAGTTTCAAGAATAAACTACTACTTTTTATGTTTATTGTTTTTGGTATATCTTCACAGTGTAGTTTTTGGTATATCTAAGTTGGTATGTTTATTGTTTTTGTAGAAATTTTTTTCGGCTTCATTGACATTAAGGAATAAAGTTAGCCTAGCCACTACAATTGCTTCGAAGCTTTCACCTGCACAAAGACAATTGTTTGAGGAAACCTGCTTCGGGTCATGGCTGAGAGTACAGCATCCGGGTGGAGATGCTAATTTGACCCATTTGTGGCTTCAGACCATGACATCAAATCTACCCGACAGTATACAACGTGGTGAGGAAGAGATATGGTTTCATTTTCCACCAGCGTATACTTGTTTTGGGCGGAAGGAGTTCTGCTTAATCACTGGTCTACGATTCGGACACGATGATGTAGGCCGGTACACTCGTCATATCGCCCGCCCATCATGGTTATCCCGGGTTTTTCCGGATGAGTCAATGGAGAAGCCGAACCTACACGTCGACGACCTGAAGAAATTGTTTAATAAGAAAGCTGGTTTCACTCGGATGGATGACGTCGATGTTGTCCGAGTATGCCTTCTACTACTTGTGTATGCCGGCTTTTTAGGCAGAGAGGCCAGACAACCTATTCCTCGGGAGCTAATAATATTGGTAGAGGACCTGAATGCATGGAATCTGTTTCCGTGGGGTTCGTATATATGGAAAGCTACCTGGACTAAGTTGTCTACTGCCTTTGATGACCGCAAAAGTTTGCGTGGCGATGGGTCGAAATACACTTTGTCAGGCTTTGTTTGGGCCTTTAAGGTAAGAATTTCTATATAATGTTTCTAAAATTATAATTAATTATTTAACAATTACTAATTTTGTTATTATATTGTTTGTAGATTTGGATATTCGAGGCTTTCCCCAGCATGCGTACATATGCAATAAAAACGTCAAATGATATTCCCAGGGCTATTTCCTGGAAGAGGAAAAATCTGTTGGATTGGGAAGACTTAATACCATATGCGACAATAAATAATGTAAGATAACACAAATACTTTCATATAATATATAAACAAGTTATTAATAGTAGACGTTTAACTTTGTTTGAGTTTTTATATTGTTAGGAGGCCAACATTCCATTACAAAGACTGACACCCACAGAGGAAGAGCTTGCCACTGATTGGTGGCAAGCTAGTCAGAGTTTTTTTGATGGCACGGATGATGAGCAGCATCCACTTCCTCTAATTCGAGAGCCATCACCTCACCTAGAGCCATCACCCGATCGACCCGACTATACACCTCTAGAACGAGAGCCATCACCTATCCCGTCACATCATCGAGCCTCTTCTCCACCATCACCTCATGATAGGCGACCGGTAAAGAGGCCACGGCATTTATCTCCTTGTTCTCCACCTCCACGGGATGAGTTACGTGATGAGGTCAATGCCTTGCGTGAGGAGATCGGTACTCTACGCGATAACGATGGTGCATGGCGTGTGGAGGTGTCAACTTTACGTGGTGAGGTTGCCGCTCTACGTGAGATGATAGTATCGTTGCAGAATGAGGTTCATACTCTACGCAACGAGGTAAGTTTAAGATTTTCCATATTTAACTTAATGATAAATTTACTCGTAATTTCACTTAGATTAGCCATTTCACTTAGATTGCTTAGTAAATTTATTCGGTTGCTGCCAATTCTGCTAAACTGTGTATTCTTTAACACTGTGAAATAGTATTTGTCTTTGTTTTGTCTTTTGGTTGAAAGTAAATTTGTTCGGTTGCTGCCAATTCTGCTAAACTGTGTATTCTTTAACACTGTGAAATAGTATTTGTCTTTGTTTTGTCTTTTGGTTGAAAGTAAATTTGTTCGGTTGCT